CACCGTCTCTCTCCTTCTCTCGCTCCCCACCCCCACTTTCTCCATTCATTCATTCTAGATGTTTGCGTTACTTTGGTAGAGAGAACAGGATCCTGCCCTAGACCCTACACCCAAGTGTGGCACTGAGAAAAGAGAAAAAAGAAAGGAAGAAATTGGAGGAACAGACTTTTCAGGGAATTGCCACTCCTGGCTCTTTTGTTTGGCGGATGGTGAGTGGAGGTTGGTTCTGCCATGCTTCACCTTCTTAGTATTTGTGGAGACATAGAGATACCTCCTAGTCAGAAGTCCCAGGCAACTACATCCCTGTACTTAAAGATGGGAACTGAAGATATTTCCAGAGGTCTCTAGTGTTTTCTCTTCCCTGCACTCTCTGGAGCACTATGTGCCCAAAGTGCCAAGGAGGAGGTGTTCGGGACAAGCCCATGAGGCCGCCTCTGGCCCACGGTGTTCTCTAAGGGCTCATAGGTGGCCCGCACACTTGGGTGGGACTCCACCATTGGCTGGAACCTGAGGCTGAGGGCCCATCTGCGCAGGCGCGGTGAGCATCACCTGTTGCATTGTGGGTGGAAACGTTAAGGCCCTGCGCATGCTCCTCGTCCTGTCCTCAGAACGCCGGGACTGTGGTTGTTGCTGCACCTTGTCTCTGAGCGGAGACGTCCGACGACCATGCAGGTCCCTGATAACGCCGAGGGTGGTCCAGAGGGAGACTATGGAGATAATGGTGTGAGAGGCGGCCCTTCACACCCTATGTTCCTTGGAGGCGGGAAAGGTCCCAGAGCAGAAGGTGCGAATGGCGGGGAGTATCCGCAAGGACAGGGAGCAGTGCTGGGAGGAGCGGCGGGTGGAGATGCCTCAGCCGTGGCCAGAGTCACTGAACAGGAACCTCTGGAGTTGTATCCTTTCTGAGGAACGGTTTGGGGGAGGGCTGAGAGCCCACAGGGGCATCGTCCGCTGGGCGGAGGAGAAGAGTAGGGGCACCCAATGGGTGGGAGGCTGAGCCTGGTTTGGGGGTGCGCCTCCAGGAGGGGCAGTGTGGGCAGGGTGGCCAGAGGGGCCCTCCAAGGGTTTGTTTTTTGGGGGGGTGGCTTAGGGACGCACGGGCTGGGAGACAGACGGTGTCAGTTGCAACTTCCCCTTAACCACGTCTCCACCAGGCATCTCACGGTGCCTTACAGTTACTCGGTGGACGCCGAGATTGCTTGCATGTACCTGGGTCCAGTAGTTCGGTCCCTTCCAGAAGGAGTTTACAGCGAAATCACCATAGATGGCAAACACCTGAATATGTAAGTTGTGCTCAGATGTCGCCTGGGAGCGAGGGGCAGCAGGTATCTGGGCTGGTCTGTGCCCGAGAAGACGCCCTCGGGGACAGGTTAGGATCCCCAAGGTTTAGTCCAAGGACAGGGCTTGGTGTGTGGGGCTTGCTCGGCCTGACCTGGGGGCTCTGTAAACCATAGGCAGAAGGATTACGTGGAGGGGCAGGAGGGGCAGAGAGGGAGAGACCTGAGCACTGGTGATGTGATCCTCTGTTTCTTTCCCTTTAGTCTGTTAATTGCAGAAAATTCCCACCTTCTGGACATTTCTGTCGCTGCCTTGCTGCACCAGCTCTCCACAGTGTTTCCGGTCTATGAGGATTTCCAGGCTTAGATTCTGGACAAACTTCAGCTAGAAAAGAGGATTTGGTTTTCTTCCTCTATCCTCCATCCCTAGGTAGTCCATCCTTTCCTAGAGGAGGGATTCCTGAGGTGCCCTGACACTTATTTACTTCTCTAGGTGGCCCTCTGAGTGCATAAATGTTAAGGCTGAAAATAAAGTGAACTGCTCTCCTACGTCTGAGATTCTTTTCAGCAGTTGGTCTTCCTGATTTCCTTGCCTTTGTCCTTGGGAGAGGGGACCTTCTGGGGTTTAAGTAGACAGAGTAATCGATGGCAACATACGTAATAGAATAACATGAAAATCAATTAGGTCTTTCCGTTGAGCATTAACTACCCTGAGTACTGTGGAACACATTTGTAGTTTGAGAGTTGAACTCCTACATGAAACGTACAGCAATTGCATAAATGTAAGGGATTTCATTTTCAAGTCTGACATTAGACTTTTCCCTGAAATATTTCCATGGAACATGAGCTTGACCTCTTTCTAAAAATATCCAAACTATGTTGTTGAATGGATGAAACAAAATGTACACTTTAGTGTATTAATTGGACATTTAATGTACTCAGTTTCCCCCACTGTCCCTCTAGCCCTCCCCAGGTTGGAGGAGGATTCGTGTGGATTTCTGTATATCTGTCACTGTACCAATGGTGGTTTGCTTAAAATTGATCCCGGGTCATAGAAACAGTTGATTTAGATGTCTAATTATTAGTTGTGGCTCTGAATCAATAAAAGAAAATTGCTTTCCAGGAATTGTGCCCTCGCAGGAGAATGCTTACTTCCTCACAGCTTTGTCACTGCTTTGTCACTGGGTCTTTTTCCGGGTACAAAGGAATTAACCAGAAAAAAAATAACAAAATTCTATTCTTATTTCGCATGAGAACAGCAAAAAGCCAGAAAGACTGGAGAAAATTCAGGACTTACTCTCCCTGTGGCAGACCAGTGAAGAAAAACTGTTGGCCATTAATTAATTGAGTGGTTGGGGGAGGAATACCTATAGTGGAGAGAAAATCCTTAGAAGGAAAAGCACCTGGCAACGCAGCCAGAACACCTCTGCACAAAAGTACAAAGCAGTGTTACTGTTGAACAGAGTGCACATCACTGGCGCTGGGTCTCTTAATAGACTGCACAGGGCGGCAGGAATCCTCCCCCTTTTGTGCAGCCAGGAAGAGGCACCTTCTACATACACACCCTCAGGAAGGACAGGCTGGACAGCACCTCTTGCACACGTAGTGTGTCCATAGGGTGCACCGTGACTGGGTGACCATGTCTCTATTGGCAGTTGGTGTTAGGGGCTGAGTGTCTGTCTTCTCACACAAATTACACATTCCTGTCCTGAATCCACGTCCCCTGCAGTCATGTGTGGAGACTGCCTCTCTGGGGGCTGGCTGAGTTTAAATGAGGCCTTGCCTTTGCTACTCTGACACAATATGATCGGTATCCTTTTAAGAAAAAACAGAAACTCTGCTGCCCTCTCAGGGCATAGGAGATGGGCAAAGGCCGCGTGAGGACACAGCCCGAAGCTGGCTGGCTGTAAGGACCCAGCATAGGCCTCACCAGAAAGAGTTTACAGGCACTTTCATCACGGACTTGCAGCCTGCAGAACAGTGAGCATTGATGTCTCCGATGTCTGAGCAAACAGCCAGAGGTATGGTTATGGCTGCCTGAGCAGATTAAACACAATTTCTTTTCAAAAGGAAAATCAACGCGTCTTTCCTGCTTTGTTTTTTAATTTTATTGGCACATGTTTGCAGTACACACTGGCTGCGTTCCTTCAGGGAGTTGCTACAACTACGTAAAGGCTGTTTTATGACAACAGCAAGTTTAGCCTCCTGGAGGGAGGAGCCCATGCAGTTAGGCTTCTGACCTCCCACAGAAAATGGAGGGTAGGGTCATTATCTTCCCTTCTCGTTAGGTTTCAAAGAGATGGTCCCCAGGTCCTAGAAAAAGACCTGATTTTTCAAAAGGGTGGCAAGAGGCCTTGTCCCTTCTCTTAGTTCTGAGAAACATTTATATCCTTTTCAGACACAGAGAAAGAACTTACAAGTTCTCTCCAGCAAATGTTTTAGCAAGAGGAAGAATCTCTTCAACAGGGAGAATTCAGCCTCTTAGACTTAATCTGCCTGTGTCCTTCTAGTAACTCTGTGAAATTCATTGTGTCCTGAAACGTGCTGCGCTCGCACTATGTCTAAGCAGTGCAGATTTAACAGGTTTTCTTCATAGATGATCATATGAGCAAATGACGGCAGCCCTTTCCCTTCCTTTCCAACCTGGACGCCTTTTGTTCACTGATGTCTCTCCTCAGGAAGGGCTTCATTTTCTTGCTGCTTTGTATCTCTAGTAGTTTTTGGTTGGATGTCAAATTTGCCCCTTTCCTTGCCTGCTGGAAACTTCTGTTCTGCTGCAGCGATCCATGAGCTGTGGTCTTTGGTGTTTGTTGGGTGACTTAGTTAAGGTATGATCTTTGTGAGTGTTGCTTTGAGAATGAGCTGTGGGAATTCATGGCAGCTCTTACTGTTTGACTAATGTTTCCACAGGGCGCAGGTAAGACCTCCTGAGCCCCCTGCATGTGACCCTTGATGCATGAGTGCTTCTGTCTTCCTCATTTCTTTAGGCAGGGAAGACCACAGATCTCTCTTTTCCTGGAGACCTTGGCAACTTGCCCATCAGCCTCTTGAGGGGTGGATCACTTTCCAGGCCCCACGTGGTTTCCTCACATTCTATCCTCATCTCTAGTCTGCTGAATTCTGCAAATTGAACTCTGAGGATGGGCAGAGTTGTCTTGTACTGAAGCCATCTCTTCTCTGAACTTTTGACCTGAAAGCACCAGCCCTAGTTATCCAAACTCATAGAACAAATCATCTGCATGTATTCTTAGGTGTTTTCTTGATTATACAGTAAATACACTATGTGCCAGCCAATCCCTAATCACTGCTCTGAATACCAATGGTCTCGATAATAACAGTTGACTGATACAGAGTGAAAATTAAATGAGCTATGATGCGATAACATTTAAAGTTTTTCTCACTAATAATAACAATCAGTAATATTTTTATTTTTTCATGAGTACATATTTACAATGCATATTGATTACATCCCACTTGGGGAGTTGACATATGTACATAACACATCTTAATTCCTTATCATCCCCGTTCCTCCTTTCCTTCTCCCTTACTCAGTTCATTGTTCACTTTCCCTTTTGCAAAAGATCTGTCTCCCTATATCCTATTTTATATCCTTTATCTGGCTATTTCTATATTTGCGGTTTATCATATAAAATAAGTTATGCTATATTTAAGCTTGTGTGTCAAACTCACATGAACATTATGGTCTCAAGGTACATGCATTTTCCTACAAATGACTCAAATTTTGGAGTGGGCCAGGTCCTGTTGTGTTTTGCGTGTTATGTCATCTCACAATAAGCATAAAATAGCATTCCCTAAATCTATTAGATTCTTATGCACTTCGTTTTGCAGGAGACACACTTCTCAGTACATGTGCAGGTCTGTGCACACACAGCTGCCAAGGAGTGAAACCAAGGCTCAGAAAGTTTAGGTGCCTCTGCCAGTCACAACTATTAAGTGACAGAACTACAAACTGAATCCAGATGTCAGCTTTCATAGCTCTTGTTTATGCTAAACGTTTTCAGTATTCTATAAAATTATTGTCTGGTTGGAAAGCCCAAGAAAATGATAGAATAGCATGATATTTCAAGAATATGCCATTATGAATTTCACAACGCTAAAAAGAACTGGTCCCAGACAATATGAAGTTTTGCATCAATGAAGAGAGAAGCCATGCACACACATGGGAAGACTCTGTACTTCTGGATGTCACTGCACCCGGAATTAAGGGCAACCACAAAGAAGATCCCACAGGAATTTCTATGTATACGATTCAGACCTGACAAAGTATTTCATTTTGGAGAAAAAATGTGCAATAGGCGACTTCAAAATCATGAGGAACAACAAAGATCTGTTTGTATTGATTGGAAACAGACCAGAGAGACATCAGAGTGTGCTGAGCATGCAGAGGAGGCTCAGAAGTGCACCTTTGCATGGTAGGTGCTCAGGGAAGACAGGTCAGGTGGGCACACAGAGCCTCCAGCCTGGAGCAGTCACACCTGGCACATGGATGCCTTCCTTCAAGATGAGGTCCCCCTGCATCCAGCCCAGTGCTGGCGAATACTCCACCTCCACACACCCCGTGTACAGAGCACAGTCATGGGAGGCCTCCATCGTTTGACCACATTAAGGGCCAGGCTTTGCCCAAGATCCAGGCACCTGCAAATGCTGTGGTCCCCTTCTCGGCCCCCTCCGGAATATCTTGGGGACTCTGACTCCTATCTCTGTGACCTCAAATTGAAAGGACAATTCCATCTGAAAGAGAAGAGAGCTGCATTCATGGTATGAAAAGAGAAGAGCAGCATACTACCCTTGGCAGATTTCCACAGAAGCAAGACACCCATCCTGGAGTCTCAGGAGCAGGTGGCCAAATAGTCTTTTTGTCTGGTGTTTGGGAGGCAGAATAACACAGATTTTTCATTGTACAGGTGCAGGGTTGCCATTTTACCTTGGAAATCAAGGGACACAATGTGGTCCTCTCTCTAGATGGAGAAGTAGGAGATTATTCTCCAAGAAGAAGTTTCCAGGGGATTTCAAAAGCAAAGTTTTGTATCTTGGTAGACCTTTGGAAGGTTGAAAATGGAGAACCGAAAAGGAAGTTCTATGGTAATGAGTTGTGGAATTTCTGTGGAAGTAGATGTTACTTCAGAACCAGTAATAACGCTTAGTGAAGAACGCTATGCAGGAAGGAACCTTCCATAGAAAGCCAAGCAGGGAAAGGCTTAGGCTGACCTTGAACCTGCCCCCAAAAACAAGCCAGAGATAGACTAGCAACAGGGCCAAATAAAAAACTGGATGAAGTAACAATCCTGTAATCATAGTAGCTGCAAGGAAGTTTTCTGTCATAAATCACAATACCAAGAGCCAGGCATGGTGGTGCACTTCTGTAATGGCAGCACTGGCCAGGCTGAGGCAGGATTGCTGTGATTTGGAAACCAGCCTGGGCTACACAGTAAGTTCCAGAGCAGTCTGAACTACACAGTGAGACCCCATGTCAAAATACATGAATAAATAAATGAATAATACCAAATAGGACAAACTGATCTAC